CGCATGCCCCCGACTGGGAATAGAGCCCACAACCCGGGCATGTGCCCTGACCAGGAATCAAACCCTGATCACCTAGATCCTAGGTCAACGCTCAACCACTGAGCCACACCCGGCCGGGCTACATATAACTTTTAATCTAATCTTCACAACAACCTTTGTAACAATTTAGATTTCTTAACCTTGTTTTATTTGGAAGGAAGTACAGGCTCCTGGAGTCTGACCCTGGAGCTAATAACTGTGAGAACCAGCTTTGAACTACTCACGTCCTCACTGTGCCTTGCTGTCTCTAGAAAGATAAACCTTAATGAAATACTAGCTTATTCTCATTTAAAATATTATATTTCCCATTTGTTTTGGAAAACTTGAAAATCGGACAGATATGGAAGAGAAAATAAAAATCAATTATAATATCACCACCCATAAATACAGGCTGTGAACATTATATACATATGTGTGCGTGTATAAAATGTTCATACCAGTTATGTATGTATATGTATGCCAATATATTTTAAGTACAGTTTTATAACTTGTGCAAATGTAGCACATTTTGAATTTATCCCCTTATTAGTTAGTCTGAAAAGAAAAGATGATCTTCAGTGTCTGAAGTACTGTTCTGGGTGATGTGCCATAATTTACTTAGCTCCCCTTTTGGGGAGGATTGCTGCAATGCTCGCTCTATCCCCTCATTTGAAACTGAGGAGGAATCAGCGAAATCGCACAAAACAAAGCGAAACCTTTTCTTTAGGCCTGGAAGAGAGAGGGCCAGAGGTAATAAAATTTTATTTTGATTTTAGAAAATTTATGTTTATGGGCAAATGATCCCATCTTGTGAATTGCTGGAAGCCATTTTTTTCCATTTGCTTTTTATAAAGCTAGACTATAACGTGACATATTAATGGGTTTGATGAATGGTAGGCAGTGGAATCCAGTGGGTAAAATGCAGGTTAATTGGTGTTTGTTTACAGCAAGGCTGGATTTCGAGCCAACCACTGAGATGATTGGCCTATAAAGGACAAATTGTTTAGTTCTTAGAATCAATTTTGTGTCTGCAAAGCAAGTGGCCTCTCTCTGACTTTCCCTCTTCATTCCTTTTCTTTTAAAAAAAATAAATAAATATTTTCATTTACTTTAGAGAGGAAGAGAGAGGGAGAGAAAGCGAAATATTGATGAATTGATCGGCTGCCTCCTGCACACCTGCTACTGGGGATCGAGCCTCCAACCTGGGTGTGCACCCTAACCAGAAATCGAACCAGTGACCCCTTGGTGCACAGGACGACACTCAACCACTGAGCAACACCAGCCAGGACTCTTCGTTCCTTTTCTTGGAGAGCTTCCTTGGCCATCCCCTGGTTGAACCTGGATCTGGCCTACTTTGAAAAGGCAACTGGCAATGCTATTGCTGTGAAGGGTGGTAGGAGATTGGATCTGGTCACTTGACATGAGGAAACTGCTCTGAGTGAGCAGCTGGGGAGGAACCATGACCAGGCCATCCAGTACTTGCTGCGGGTTAGGTCGGTGGGTTGGCTGGAGCGCCAGCCAGGTGGCCTTGTTTGGCCACAGTCCTGGTTCCTAGGGCCAAGGAAGCTTGGGCTTCTCCAAAGAACAAGGGGTGGGGCTGATTTCCATTTCAACCCAGACTTCCCTCCAGATTCACACAAGGGCCCTTCCTCACTTTCAGTGGCCTGGCCAGAGAACCCTGACTCATGGTGGGCATGTCTGCTGTGTGACCTGATGTGAGACACCACTTCCTTCCCACCCGCATCTCTGTCGGTGTTTGGTCTGTGAAGTATGAGGCGCCGATTCTTTTCTTGCTGGTGGGTGTGGACTAGATGTTTTCTCTCTTCTTTCTTCTTCCAAAGTGTCACTCCTTCCATTTGAGTACTACTACTACTACTACTAATAATAATAATAATAATAATAATATCCAAACTTCTCTAGTGCTTATTANATAATAATAATAATAATAATAATAATAATAATAATAATATCCAAACTTCTCTAGTGCTTATTACATCTAGGTGGCATTCTAAACACTTTACATATATTCACTTAACCCTTACAACTGTTACAAATATTTGTCACCCTCATTTTATTTATTTTTATTGATTTCGGAGAGAGGAAGGGAGAGGGAGAGAGAAACATCAGTGATGAGAGAGTCATTGATCGGCTGCCTCCTGCACTCCTCCTACTGAGGATGGAGCCCACAACCCGGGCCTGTGCCCTGACCCCGGGAATCGAGCCACGGTCTTCTGTATCCTAGGTCGACGCTCAACCACTGAGCCACGCCTGGCCAGGCCCCTGTATTATACTTGAAGACGTTGGTGACCTGCCTTGTGTCACAGTGAGTGGTTGAACTGGGATGGGACCCCAGGCAATGTGGCACTACGATACTTTGATACTAAACCTTAGAGAGGCTGAGCTGAAGTTAGGATAATAATAGCTAACATTTGGGAACTTACTTTGTAATGGATACTGTGCCCAGTGTTTTGCATGTGCTATCTCATTTAATCTTTCCCAAACCCTCATCAGTGAAAACTATATATTCCTTCTATATATGGAGGTGAAATGACTTATTCAAGACTCATAGAACTGGGCCTCAAACTCCTCTCTCATGAGTACCTTCATGATTAGATATACATTGGCTCTCAATCAACTAGGATTTTTATCAGAGCTAGTAGAAAATCCTCAGTGAGTCACTGTCATTTGGGTACTTAGTTTGTCATGATTTCTCTGTTCCAGGCCCATTCAATCTGTGTTCCTGTGTTCACTGAAGTCAGCCACCAAACCACAGAGGCGAACATGGTACTAGCCAAGGCTTATGCCACGTCTGGAGAGGCCTAGCACTGGGCAGGTAAAAGAGGTGGCCTTGCAGTTATAATTTCCCAGTCATGGAAGAGAAGCACATTGGCTAATGGTTTGCCTGTCAGTATGGATGGATTATAATTAGCTATTCCTGCCTGTGATAGAAAGATGAGAGTGGGCACCATTTCATATAAAATCATTTACCCTTGCGTTTAGGCACAATATCATCTCTCCAAATTCATTGGACTATCAAAACCAATAACGTCATGATTCCTATTCCCTTTATTCCCTTAGAATCTCAGCAGAATCGACCTCATAAAGAGTAGAGGTCATACATGCCATGAGTGCGCCCCGTGATGTGTCTGCTGATGAGAAAATCTAGTGACAAGAGAAAAACAGTGGCTCCTCCGCTCGCACCCTCCGTGACTCTTCTCTAGCTTACGAGAGAGTGGGACAGCTAGAAGATTCTTGATCTGTGTTCAGAAGTGAGGCACTGGGGGTTCTAGAGGAAAGCCACGCGCTGAGTTCATCCTTCAACAGTAGTCCCTCCTCAGGCCGGGGCATCCTCCTGAAAGTGGGAGCTCTGGGAGGGACGCAGAGGAGCTGGTGAGGGAGCTCTCTGCTCAGCCGGCTTCCTGGGATTAGTGGACACTAACGTATTCGCTGATCTGTCAGGAGGAACTGGGGATTTGCGAAGGATGGAATTTAAACATTTTTTAAATGTTGATTTTCTCTGCTCATACAAGTAATCCATTCTGGTATACACTTTTTCCCAGTCATATGTGAGAAAGAGAGAGAGGGGAAGAGGGAGAGAAAGAATTTTAGGGAAAGTTTTGCATCCCACTTTTTCCCATTCTTGTATTTCCTGGGTCATTAAACAAACATTTTCTTAGGTTTTCAGAAGTTATTTTGATGTTTTGAGTACTGTTGTCATTAGCATAATTGTTCACTGAAGATTTCCTGAGTCTGTTTTCCAGCTAATCATCTTGCTCCTTTTAAAAATTTCCGCGTGTATACTCACAGTATTTGTATTCCATCTACATATTTGAGTTTTTAAAAAGTATTCGTGGTTATGGCAAACTTAAACTATTTGTGAATAGGTAAAATTTTTTTGAGAAGTTTATGCTTATGGAGTGGGGAGAATCTCAGGCCACTTTTTTCCTGCTTACTAAATTCTAACTTTATATGAGAGCTGGATCCTTACCTCATGTCATTCGCTAAATTCCAGATGGATTAACATTTTTAATATCAAAACTGACAAATATGAATTAGCCAGAAGAAAATGTAGTACTTGACTAAAATTAAAAATGGAGGAAAGAACTCTCTGAGCACACAAAGGTATACCAGAAAAGAGGAGATTTATAGGTTTAATTATAAAAAGATCTAAAGACTTGTGCCTGTCATAAAATACCATAAGTAAAAAACAAACTCAACCAAGATGAACAGATAACCTCACTAGGCCCTTAATTATTAAAAACAAACAAACAAACAAAAAAACACAAAAAGGGAAAGAATTTGTAGTTAACCTTCTGAGAAAGAAATCTCTAAGCCCATGTGATTTCACTGGGTAATTCTACCTAACATTTAAAGAAGGATTAACATCCATCCTACATAACTTTTTTCCAGAAAATTGAAGAAGAGGGGACACTCCCCAATTCATTTTATGAGGCCAGCATTACCCTGATACCAAAACCAGGCAAAGACATTACAAGAAAAACAACAACTATAAACCAATACCCTTCATACACATCGATGTAAAAAATCCTCAACAAAATATATACTAATATATTTATATATAACAGAATAATACACCATGGCCAAGTGAGGTTATTTTCCTTGAGATGTCAGACCGGTTGAGTATTTAAACTTGAGTCGATGTGCTCTACCACATTAACACTCCAGAGGAAAAGTTCATCGTCTTATCAATGATGTGAAAAAGAGAAAAGCCCACAGCCATTCATGGTAGAAGGGGAATGTCCTCAATCTGGTAAAAAGCATGTACATAAAAACCTACAGTCATCACACTTACTGGTGCAAGACCGCCTGCTCGGGAGGGCCGGCAGCGGGTGAGGGCGCTGGCTCTCGGCACTCTGGGGACACGGGGCTGAAGTCCTCGCCATGACTTGGAAACAGCCGTCGGAGGAGAGGCTGGGCGGCATCAGAACCACCCAGTTCAGACCCAGGTGGGGAGAGGTGATTTGGTGCTTGGAGAACCCTTCTGTCTGTGACAGTGAGACCTAGACTTTCTGTGAAAGTCCATGGAGGGAAGGGCCTTTCGAAGGACTCAGCTGTAAAACTTGAGTCAGTCAGACTTTTCTTTCCCTGAAACGAGCCCAGATCTTATTCCCCAAGAACTGCTGAGCAAAGCCCTAGGAGTAGCTGCCAAAGCCCAGATGTCAAAAAAAAAAAAAAGAAGAAAACGCAGCACCAGAATTGTTCAGCGTGTCCCTGGGATAATCCGTCCCAGATGGCCTGGAGCGCTGCTCCTTGCCGTGTGCCCAAGTGCGCTGTGCTCACCCCGCGGCCTCTGCGGGCCCAGCCACAGCCCTCGCTGCAGGCCCATCGCCGGGAGCCCAAGCTCTTGGCTTCTGAAGCCTCCGCAAAGAAGTGAAAGCAGAACTGGCCCCTTGGAATAGCAGTTAATTCCAAGGTTAAATGATAGTTTAAAGGCCTCAAGGAAGATTTTATTGTATAGAAACTGCACTGAAAATCTCAGGTTTGGAAATCAACTCTGAGACTGTTTAGTCTAACTTTTCCCTAAATCACAAATGTACTTGTTTTAATCATTTACATGTGAAGCTCCCTCTAGGCACGAGGATCCTAATATGTGTAAGATACAGTCCTTTAGGAAAACAGACCCACAGGACCAGAGTACAGGTCAGTCTGTAGTAAAGCTTGAAGGGAAATGTAAACAAAGAGGACAAATAGTAAGCTGTGAGCCCTGAATGTGGGTGGAATCGGGTGTGCCCTGGGGGCAGGGTGCTGGGTCTTCAAAGTAGAGCAGAGTACCAGCCTGAACAGAAGCCGGGTGGCAGGGAGACACTTGATATTCCTGCAGAAAAGGTGGCAGTGAGCGGGTGCAGTTTAGATACATGAGTAGGAACAGGCTGGAGATGAGCTTGGAAAGAAATTGGCGCCAAATTATGGAATGTTTCATGTGCCATGCTGCGGAGTTTCGAGTTTATTCAGTGGACAACAGGCAACTATCAGAGTTCTGAGCAGGATGTGACATGATCAGTTATTGGCTTTAGAACAACTCTGACAGCAATAGGTGGAACCTGGGGAGGTATCAGGAGTAGGGAGACCAGTTAGTAGCTCAGGGGAAAGATGTCGAGAGCCTTAATTATCCAAAGCCCTGTGAGAAGGACTGTGGAGNGTGTGATAGGTGGAACCTGGGGAGGTATCAGGAGTAGGGAGACCAGTTAGTAGCTCAGGGGAAAGATGTCGAGAGCCTTAATTATCCAAAGCCCTGTGAGAAGGACTGTGGAGAAGATGGACTGAGAAACGATTTGGAGTCTGCAGTGGCAAGACCTGGGAACCAGTTAGATGAGGTATTGTGGAGGCAGGAGTCAAAGGTGGTTTTGAAGTTTCTAGTTGGGCAGCTGGGTGAATGGCAATGCTAGGAAGTGAAGTAGTATTGGCAAGAGATCATCTTGGAGGATGTCTAGGGGGTCTGAGGAAGGTAATGATTTCCACTGTGGATGTGTTAAGTACCCATAATACATCCACTTGGTAATGTCTGTTAGGTTGCATGGATGAGGAGCTCAAGAGAGATTCTGGTGTTAAGGGAATGGATTTAAACCCGTGGAATATGTATATGTGAAACGAGAAGGCTTAGGGAAGAACTTTGGAGAACACTTATTTTGGAGAGAATATACATGGTGATTTGGGATCAAAATAGGGCTCACATTTGAGCTTTCCCACTTACAGTGAGACTCCCTATGACTTCCTTTCTTCATCTAAAAAATAACTCTCTATTTTAATAAAGTGCTTTTCTTAAAGTATGGCACATAGTAAGCTTATGTGAGATGTTAATTACTGTAATTATTGTTTTTGTGTTACCTAGGGGTCATGCAGAAGGAGGAACTGGAAAGAGACTCAGAGTCTTTAGAGAATTAGGTGAGTCAGGAAAGAACAGAAAGGAACTCAGAGGAGAAACGTTCAGAAGGAGTGGTCGATATCAATACCATCGTCATGAAAGACACGAAGGGGCAGTTCAAAGAAGGGAAATGCAAGTGGTCAATACACACGAAACGGGATATCCAATCTCAATCAGAAGTTAAAAATTCAAAGCATGAAATGCCACTTTTAACGCATCATATTTGTGGTAATGAAAAACACAGGTAATAACTAGCCCGGTGCTGTCAAGGTATGGGGAGACCAGCCCTCTCGGGACTCTGTGAAGGGACTGCTTGGTAAAACCACCTTTTTGATGGGCATTCTGGCAAGAGTTAATAGAATGTTGAAATGCATGTTTCCTTTGACTCTGAAACAGCACTTCTTGGAATCTTAGAAATACTTGCACAAATGTACACACACACACACACCCCTTCCTTGTAGATTTGCTTATATAATAGAAAAACAGTAGGAAAAGCTCCAATGTCCACCAGTAGAAACACTGGTACATGCTGACGGTCCACATAGTAAGGTCCATGTTTATGACCCTATGATATGATCATTCAAAAGCGTGAAGTGGAACTTTTAATAATCAAGGAAAAATATTGCAGATATATCGTTAGGGGTTAAAAACAAGAAAAATTTCATATTTAAAGGGGAGTAGCACATGGTTGCTCTGAAGGCACAAGAATACTTTTGTAGCCATGGCCAGGTAGCTCAGAGCGTTGCCCCAATACGCCAAGGTTTCGGTTTCGATCCCTGGTCAGGGCACATACAAGAATCAACCAATGAATGCATCAGTAAGTGGACCAGCAAATCAATGTCTCTCTCTCAAATCAATAATTTTTTTTTTTTAAAGAATACTTTTGTAGTTTGGTAAAGAATTTGGGCCCCACTTCAGGACATAATGAAGTCTTTATGAACAATGACTATCTCGCCAACCAACCATTTTATCTGATCCTAGAAACATGACTTCAGCGTATCCATATGCACTAGTTTTTCTTCATGACTCATGGTAGTGACGGGCTCTAGTCCTGGAGACAGACACACCTGGGTGCAACCCTGCCCCGCCACCTTCTAGCTATGTGTAATCCGGTTGCCTCATCCATAGAATGGGGATGGGAACAGTACTCTCTCTGTGTCGCTGTGACAGTGATATAAGGTATATAGCTAGCACAGTGTGTGGCCCCAGCTAACAACCATTTTTATTTTTACTGAAACCTAGGTTTCAACTCTACTGCCTTCTAGTTACACTGCTGGTTTGTGAAACAAAAGGAAATCGGGGATAGAAAATGAAAAGCTACCACCAGCTGGTGTGAAAACATCTCAAAAGTGAGCTAGAGCTTATCAGCATCTAGAAACATCACAATAGCATAGACAAGACAGTCTGACACAATTACTTAAATACAAAGAAGATAATTTACACACAGTGGAAATCAGTGATTTCTGTGACTGGTAAATTCCAGGCAAGGGGAATCCTGCCCCCTTGTGGTGCGAGAGTAGGAGGCTCAAGGCTGATCTCCAGTTGCTGTCCCTGGCAGGGGTCACACTGATTTTATGAGGCCCCTGGGCAATTGATTTCATTTGTGCCCATTCTCCAAATTTGGAGTCACATCATCTTTTGGTTTATTGAGAAGGAAGTTAAAGTGCCAGGTAGCATTCTGTATCTTAGTAGAGAATGGATCAGTCTTACTGGGATTTACGTATAAAAAAAAACTTCAAGTTCATAAAATTAGGTATCTCATATTTCTATGGAACCGATTTTTTCCAGTCAAACAGGGGCTATGAAAACCACACTTTTTCCAGGCTTGAGGTCTAACTAGGACGTGACTGAAGAACACTTAATAGAAACAGTATTTCTGGACCAGGTTACTTCTAGCACCAGTCCAACTCCTCCAGTATTAGGAAATCAGAGCACAGAAGTCTTTATGGCTGGAGACAGGGAAGACAGATCCTCTTTTCAGCACTTTAAGGCCTCTGAGCTCTAAATCTTTGTGCTCATGAGAAGAAATCACCTCAAAAGTCTAA